TCTGCCTTCAGATTTAAAACCCCTTGTTAAATTTTGCCTCTCCCTATAGATACCCAGAGATAAGTGGCAATAAGAGACCAAAGATACTTGTTTTCTCTCCATCCCTGTGGCTCCTCACTGAGCTGCCTCCATCAGCACTGTGCTCCTATTTGGTTCCTGGATGCATTCGGCAGTGGTAAAATCCATGTTGCTATTTTGCTCCTGACTTATCAACCCAGATCAGCCTGTCAGTGGATTGCTCCCTTCATTGCTTCCTATTTTCATCGGTCACCATTATGTTATATCAGTATTATATCAGCTTATTAAGAAAAACCCTCATTTGTCAAAACCAATGACACTGCTGCAATCCCTGCCAAACAGTGAGCTCCGTACGACAAGCATCTGCAAATTGTATCACCAGTATACCTCTGCTGAGGGACTGGCAGTCCTCACACAGCTCTTTGTGTGTTCCAACAGTTGGGTTCTGCAGAAGCAGCGTTTGCAGCCTGCCTGCACCCAACTGAGATGTTTTGTAGGAATTTGGAGGGGAAAAGAAGTTCAATTCAAAGGAAAGATTCCTATTTTTGACAGATTTAATAAAACAGAAAAATGAGGGTTTGTCAGAACTGACGTTTCTGCGTCCAACTACACTGGGTTTTAGGCAGGACCGAATAACAATGCTTGTTTTAAATGTGCGTTGTTTTCACACACCTCCCGTTTAGTCTCAGAGATGCTTCCTGTTGAGGGCATTGTAATTGCTTTCGATTTGCTCTAATCCCATGCTGTGTTATGGTAATGGAGGCTGTGTCACTGGGATAACTGCAGAATTCACATTTAAACAACCCAACAACCCACACATCTGATATCTGGAGCGCAAACCTCTGCTCAGAGGAAAACATAAATTACAGATGTGAAATGCCACCTGTTGACTGGGTTGACAATATTGACGTTTTCAAGCAACTTTTAGTGATACCTCTACTTCATTCACTAGCTCGTTGCCCCACATCTTGCAGGCTATCTCATCACTATACTGATGCTTTTTAGTTTAAATCCAATCTATTGAAGAACAAATGGGGTGGAAAAACATGTGCAGTTGATTCTCTTTGGTTTGAGGTCTTGGCTGTTTTCACACAACGATGGAACCTTCCTAACCTTCCTAACAATCATTACTGACTGCCCTAGCTGTAAGTTATCAAAGAGAGCAAACTTACCCTTCTGGTCTTTGCAGAGATTAGATAACATCAAACACACACACAAAGATGGATGTAAACAACAGCAGTTGCCTCCCAATTTTAGGAGGCAGTGCAGAACTGCAGGATAGCAATATGAAAAAGGATGAAGCAATGTTTTCCCGTCCCAGGAAGTTACAAATACCAGTGATGAAAACAGAACAGCTTTAAAATGTGTTAGAAATAAAACAACCGGACAATTGGATGCTTGCTTTTTCTCAAGGTGCAAACATGGTTTTAAAAGCCTTACAAGCCAAGGGGCTTGTTCATTCTATTTGTACTTACAGATTAGGGTTTCTCTTCACTCTTCAGGTGCTGTTGACTTGGCTCTTCATTTTACGGAGGCTCTAAGAACAAAAAGCAAATCACCTGATATTTTAAGGAGTCGTTGCTTTCTTTGAACCTATGGCAAAGCAACAACCATGAGCATCAGCTATGGCAGGGTAGGGCTGCCCATAAGCACACAGAGACTCAGGAGGATTTATGATTGCATCACAGGATCCCCTGATCTGCAGCCATTTCTTAGCCATAGGAGGTCTTCAAAGCCTCCCATTTCCGAACACTTGCATTCTTCTACTGCCTGAAATGATCAAGATACAAAGACACTCATTTGGAAAGGTCATTCCCCAGAATGGAGGGGATCATTTAAAAGTGTTTTGAGAAAACTGGGTAAGACAGGAGCAAAATATGTCTGTTGTAACTGACTGTGGGTTTGGATACGGTTAAAATCGTAAGGGATGAAACAAAGCTCACCCTAAAGCCCAGCACTGTGTCTCAGCCCTGCTTTCTGCCAGGATTGTAGCTCAGCATCCAGCACCATTGCTACACCATTGCGTGGTGCTGGCAACATGGAACCAGGAGATTTTAGTAGAAAAGCCCCATTAGCCCTGTCAGTAAGCAAGGCTCAGCGTCAGTGATGGTTGCTGTGCGGTGTGTGTGGTAAATGCTGTCTCACTGCAGGATTGAGTCTGTGTGAGGAGTCTGTGCTAGGTCACTTTTGCCCTCCTGCAGCTTAACTCCTTCCTGTCAGAACAGTATCATAGTTTTGAAGTCAGTGGTATTAACATTCACCATTTACATATAGTCTTATGTAAGGATGTTATAACTGACTACATCCTGTTGCTTCACATTCGGTTGAAGAAACACAAGGGACATACTGTTCTGTGGCTCTTCGCAACACACTGGTATGTGATGGCTTGTCTTTGCATTTTGCAATGTTAACAGTAGCTGACAGCTAAAGCACTGGGCAGATAACACTAAAAAGTGATCACGGTAGAAATACCTAGCTCTTACCTAGTAGCTTTCTGCAGTTGATCTTAAACCTCTGTTACAAGGCAAACATACCACTCTCCCCATGTTACAGCTAAAAAGCTGAAGCTTCTGTGGCAAAGCCGGGTATAAAGCTAATGTATCCTTAAATCAAGTCCTGTACCTTCTCAAGTCAGTCATGTTGTCTTGGCTTCTGTCTTAGCAGACAGGCAGTAAATAGTTGAGTAACTTTTATCTGCTACCAACAAATCATACTTTTGACTCATATTTCTAACGTGCCTTACTGTTTCATGCACCCGAATAGAAAGATATTCATTATCTACAAGAGGAAAAATGTTCAGCATCAATTAGAGCCACAAACATTGTGTAGATAATAGGGTTCTTAAAATGTTTCTGGGTTCTGAAGCAGTTGTGATTTGGGGCTGTCACCCAGGCGGTGCAAGGCATCCTATGGGTGAGAAATACTGCCTGGGACACAGCTGGAAGGATGTTTTGGAGAAGTATAGGGGGAAAAGGTGACCTGCAATTCCTTGTTTCACATGTCTTTGCACAGCAGAGACACCAACTAAAGCTCCTCTGAAAAGCAGATCTGCAGGTACATCCGTTTAACTAATTTAGGGGGAAACAATACCCACTTTGCAAGTTACAGTCTCCAGGCACTATTACTCGGAAGTACCTGAGGCAGAGTGCTGTGGAGGAAGCCTGTTTCCTCTTCAGTCTGATCTCACCACCTTTCCCTCCTTCAGAACACCAAAACTGCACCTCATTCCACACTGAAGTAGCGCGCATCAATAAAACCGCCTCAGATTCCCCTTCAGCTCTTGCCGTAATCCAGAGCTTTCAACAGAGAAGTGCTGCAAACAAACCCAAACCTCAACCCACATTAAAACCTGCTGCACTTCTTCCTTATTAGTGTGGGGAGGAGAGAGCATAAATCTAAACCCCATCTGTAACACAAACAATTCACCCAGGTTTCCGATACCTCCTTCTGTTTTCTACTGACACTCTCTTTAGCCTCACTGTTTGTCCCTGGGGACGGGAGGAGCACTTAGAGCCACGTACAAAAGGCATCCATGCAAACTCCCATCTAAATGGACCTTTCTGGGAAGGTGTCTCTTTAACACTGCACACTTCAGCGGTCACCAACTTTACTGTTACCTTGTTCTGAGGGATTTCACCCGTTCGCCTCTGCCGCATGCCGGGAGGCTGTTCAGGATGTGCCTTTCATCAGGGATCCAGCACAGCAACTCACTCTTATTAGAGCTTGTTCTCACTAGGATAAAAAAATGGAGGGGGGAGCTGACTGACAAGGAGATGCATTACTCCTGCCATAAGGATGACATTAGACTGCAGAGAATGAAATCATAGATGCAGTACGATGCCGATCCCATATGCATGTGTGGCTTTCTGAGAAGAGAAAGCCCTTCCCTTCACCTTGAAAAGTCAGTGATCATCCTAAAATCCATTTGAACTCTGGGCTAGCCTCTCACTAATTGCCTGCTGAGGCAGGTACTGTGTTGTAAGGAAGAATATTGTATGTAATACATTAAACCTATTGCTACTCACCCTCAAAATGCTTACTGCAATTACTAATACTGTTTTATTCCCAGGTTGTTTATTCCATTTGGTTGCTGACTGCAGGGATGATATAAACACTACCATTAGGTGTGTGGGAAAAATCATTTTACTGATGACCACCTTCATGCTGAATATACACATACAGACACTGATGAAATTTAGTATGCTAAAATGTGCTGCCTCTGTTGGCAAAGGGACAAACCACCCTGCGTTAGTGTAACAGTGTCTGCCTAAGAGCAGCAGAGAAAGCAAAGTAAAGTAATACCTGTACTGCTAGACTGATAATGGACATACCTTATATACTAAATATCAAAGATATCTATTTGCCATGTCAAATGCCCTGTTGAAATGCAGGTAGATGATATCCACGGTGCTGTCCTCATCCACTGAGCAAATTGTTTCATCATGGAAGGCATCACAGAATGGCTGATAAAGTGGTTGCTGGGTTTGGCTGTGAGAGAGTTAGTTTTTCTCCCAGCAGCTGGTGCAGGGCTGTGGTTTGGCTTTAGTGTGAGAACAATGCTGATAACACACTGATGGTTTAGTTGCTGCCAAGCAGCACTTACTCGAAATCAAGAACATTTTAGTTTCTCACGTTGTGCCAGTGACCAGATGCAAGAGAAGCCAGGAGGGAGCAGAGACAGGACACCTGACCCACACCAGCCAAAGGGGTATTCCAAACCATGGCACGTAATTCCATGGTACAGAACCTGGAGAGGATTGGTCAGAAGCCCCTGACCACTGCTCAGGGACAGGCTGGGCATGGGTCAGCAGGTAGTGAGCAGTTGCACTGTGCATTGCTTGCATTTCTATCCATGATACCTGTGTCACACTAAGGCTAAGCAGCATCTCCACTAATTGCTGGGACATGAAACTTAGGGAGGTCCAGCCGCAGTGTGTGTGTGCAGCAGTCTGCTACAGGAGGGTCCTCTGCCTCAACTGATACCATACACAACATCTGCACCCTGTTTCTTCTCTTCAAGATGCTCTACAGCCCGAGCTTTGTGTTTTAAAGCTACTGCCAGTTTCAGAATGAGAGTTATGAACAGCTTCTGTTCCCAAAGACACCTTAAGGTAAGGATAAAGGATAAGGTCAGGATAAAGGATAAAGTAAGGTTACTTACTGAGGGTCAGCTGGATGTCATAACAATGTTATCCATACATGAATCTATACATAACAGTAACAGGGCTCCAGATTTTTTATCCAGTTATTGGCATTGCTGGCTTTTCCACTTCCAAAATGGTGAGCAGAATCTTCTCAGACTCCAGCTGCTTCTGACAATCTACTTGAAAGGCCTGTTGCTTTACATACCAAAATGTAGTGCAACCCTATGGCATATAATCGTGCAATCTAATCATATAATCAAAACAAGGCAAAAGAGACCTCACTCTTTCAACTGCTCTGAGCATCGCTTTCAAATAATATGTGATCTGTGCAGTAGTTCTCTAAGAAAGATGAGTCTGTGTTTGGCTCATCAGCTGAAGAGCAGTAAATACTAAGTGTACTCAAAGAAGTGATGCCTTTCCATGGGTGCTAAGAACACTGGGGTGGTTTATGCTCTTACGTAGTAAGACGTTCCTGCGCAGCAGCGTGTGGAGAGTTATTGTGGAGTGTCTGGTGCCCTTCAAACCTGCAGCATGTTTTTTCCCTGCTCTGAGTTGTTTGTGTGCTTCAGCTGATGATGCTGCCTCGAAGATGAGAGCTGCAGTTTGCAGGGGAAGGTGAACAATCAAGTCTGCTACTTTCTGTCCTCTCAGCAGGAGGGACAGGGAGATGTGGGTTCGCAACAGGGGCAGAAAAACGCTGCCACTGCTGCTCCAGAGATAAAGACAACAAACCTGGTGCATGATCTGAATGATTCTATGACTACCCAGCAAAGCTACAGAGTCCGGGCAGAACACCACTGATGAGTTACCCAAACAATGTACACACAGAGCAGCCTGCGTCTGGTGACAGAGGTCACTTCTGTTGATGTACCTTCTGATCACTCCCTTTTTCCTGACCTCCAGCCACTGCTCTATCTTGCCTGACTTATCTGTACTGCTCAGCTCATATTACTCTTTCCCTTCATCACTGGGAAAGGAACTGAGCTGCTCCTTCTGGCTAATGAAGGAAAGCTCTGCAGCACCAATACAGTAACCCCCTCCCCATCACCCAGGGGTCCTTTGTTGCCTTCCCAATGGCCTCCTGTACATGCTGAGCAACAGGAGAACAGGGGTGTGAAATTCATTATCGGATCAGACAACCAGTGGCTAAGCCAAAGCTCCTTAAGAAGGGGACACTAAACCTTGCTGAGCATTGTGAGTGTTTGAGAGCCTCAGAGAGGGTGCCTGAAAGTACAGAAGTGAAGGCAGAGCTGGCAACCCTCTGACTACCACAAGGACTCGTGATCCTCAGCATCTGGGGTGGGTTTGAAAAACTTAGTGATGAGAGAGTGTCAAAGCCTATGAGGAAGTGAGCAGAAGGACCATGGAAATACCCTTTGTTTCAAGACAAAGAACGCTGCTCTTGTCTCTCTGGTTCACATTTTCTTTTAATACATTCTTTTTCAGCAAGCGTGGATGCTGCTCTAAAAGGAGCCAGGTGCACTTCCTGCAACACTGACTCCTCAAATACACCTTTAATCACCTTCTCCTTTGCTTCCACAGGTTTCACAAAATCTGACATTCACAACTGCTGCAGCAGACCTCAAACCCGAAGCGCTTTTAACCTCCATCCTGCAGTGTTTCCTCCCGGCTTTGCTTGAAGCTTCCCTCCCACCAGGAACTGCTAAGCTCCATCCAGACCTGCAGCCTTCTCACTGGAGTTTATCTCCCTCCTCGCCTCTGAAGTGACAGGTAAGAGGCACCCCTCTGCCTGTCTGCCTGCAGTACATCCGCTGGGTACCACTGCTGGGTACCACTTACCTGTGGGCTCTCCAGCAGCACAGCAGGACACTCGCCTCGCTCTGTGCAGCTCTCCGATGCTGCAGTGAAGAGCTGCTGAGGAACTGCAGCACAGCTCCGTGTCCTTCCTGGTTATCACCCACTGCACATAAACCACAAACAGCTGACAAATGTCATGGGACCACGGGGAGGTGTTTGGGGGTTTTATGCGCTCTTGTTCTGCTCAACATGTATGAAATATTCCTGGTTATTGCTAATTGCATCTGCTTGTAAGCAGTTGCAAGAAGAAAGAGGATTAATTGGGCTGACAGTTGAAAAGCACTTGTGACAGCATGTGTTATAGTCACTTACAGAGTCACAGGATGGTTTGGGTTGGAAGGGACCTTGAAGATCATCTAGTTCCAGCCCCCTGCCGTGGTGGGTATCTACACCCAAGTATTCCTCTCCCATAGCAAGGTCACTCAGCCTCTCAGTCGCTCAGGTAATACCTGAAAGGTGAATATATTGCCCTAGGAGCCCTTGAGGGAACTTCCCTTATGATGCAATGGTAAAATACATGTGGCGGTCCTGAAGCAGGGCAGCCCTGAGGGCTGAATGTTTTCTGGTACTGCTGAGATGCTTGTCTCATTAGCAAATGGTAGTCTTCCAAAGAGGTGTAAGGACCTGCTCTGCGGGTGCTTTTTGTACACTGCCGTCTCTTTATAAATTACAAGTATTGACTCGGTGTTTTTGTAAATGAAGAGAATAAGGCATGCGAAAAGAAGAAAGTTTTGGCAGGGATTTGCTATCATGATCCTGTTCATTATATACTATTATTTTTAATTGTACCCAGTTGATGTATCAGCCACCAGAAATCTGGCAGAACAGCACAAGGGTGCTACTATTCCCTCACCCCCTTTAATTTCCAGACGTTGTTCTCTATCAGTGGTGCAGCAGAATAGCTGCAAACCCGGCCACGCAAGAAGCAGGAGGACAAACTCCTTTCTCTTCAAAAACTCAAAGATACCTTCCCAGGAGTTTCAGTACGAATAATGAAAGTGCTCAGAATAAGGACGTTCTTTCTTCAAAACGAAGGGGATATGTTTGGGGACTTTTAAACCCAAAAGATCATTAAATGTTCTTTTCTATCCCTATGTTAAGATTCTACAAGATTAAAGGCAATAGTGGAGAAAATATAATGCTGTCCCTGGCAATGTCCAACTGCTCTTTTTAGGATTTAATAAGGAAACTATTGCTTCCATTACTGGTTGAGCTTGGAAAATACTGTTGTAACTTACCAGCTCAGTGTAAGAAAGACACAGAAATATCTTTTGTCAAACAGAAAGTACCGAAGAATTTGCATCTGTACCTAAATGAAAAACTAAGAAACAGCACTGAATTGGTCTCAACTGCATAATAGCCCACTAGTCCTGCATTACATGTGATGAAGGTAAGGCATGAAAGACTTCAGGTGATTTCTTCAAAGCAAGTCTGCTACTGAATCAGTGTCTTCTGCTTTAACCCATAGGCTGTATTTTGCCTTTCAGCAACAGTCAGAGGGCTTTCAGAACTGAACTTTTCCCATTAACCTGTGAAATCCAGTAACCTCACTGTCGCCTCAAGCTCAAAAGCAGCTATAAGGTTTTATGGAGCTGCTCATCCTCAGCGCTTATATAGAGCATTAAATATCCCTGAGATGTGCTTCTTGGAAGAGTAAAGTTTGCACTTTCCCTGGGAATGTGGCTGTACCATGGCTCTTAAAGACTGATCTGCTTGTACAGCCCTAGCTCTGTGAGCAGTCGATGGTGTTGGTGGCCACTGCTGACACTAGGCACGGAACATCCCTCCCCGCCATGCCTACTGTTTGCATCACAAGGGCTGGCAGCCGGGTACAGCACCTCTTGAGGCTGGATCCCTGCAGGCACAGACACGTCTATGCTCCCGCCACTGAAAAGCATCCATCAGGTAGGCAGTAAAAGACACAGCAATAAGCCAACAGCTATTGCTCACCTGCTTGATTTTGGGAGTAATTTGTCCTGATGGCTTGACCATGCCCATCAATAAATCACACCAGCAACTCGAAAGCCTTCAATTGCCTCTATAATCTTTGTAAGAGAAAACTGCCTGATTCATGCCATCACTTCCAGAGAAAAGCAACAGAACTTTACAAAGTTTCCCCCAGAACCATGGAAAGAGAGGAAAATGGCATTTAATTGCATGGCTTTTCTCTTCTATTTGCTGGCCAGCTCTTTCCTCTTGTGTACAAAAAAACTCTTACAACGTAGCAAGGTGAAGATGAAGGATGAGAGTAGCGATGGAGCAAAATGGGACAGGGAAAGGGTGTGAGGGCAGGTGTGAAGACAAAGTCCCCATCATCAGAAGAGCAGCAGACTCCACCTCCTGACCATGGGTCTTTCATTCCCTTTCCTGCTCCTCCTCAGTCTTTTTCTTACTCTTCCAGATGGGAAATAGTTGACTCTTTTGAATTGCAGTCTCTGAAGGGTCAAAAGCTGTGCAGAGGATGAAATAGCAAACATCCTTTGCTTCTGCTATTGTGGTGGCTATTTTTGTGAACAAGTTTGCCTGTGGGCAGACAGAAGAGGTTTTGAGGCCACAGCCTATATTCTGCATTCTACACTTGGGTTTTCCAGTGTAGTTTATCAGTCAAATTGGGGTCAAAGTCTTTGATCAAGAGAGGAGAGCAAAGCAGCTCAGACACAGGCAAGGCAGCTCCTTTGCTGCAGAAGTGTGTGAAAGTAAACTGGAAACACAAGGAACTTCAGTGTGAGGTGTCCCTGCCCATGGCAGGGGGGTTGGAACTGGATGATCTTAAGGTCCTTTCCAACCCTGACTATTCTATGATTCTATGAACTCCAAAGCTTTCTGTGTTGGAGTCGCTTTTTGTCTGCTCCTCTCCTGGAACAAACAGAGAAGTCTTGGTTTGCTGGGAAGGTTCCCAGCCTTAAGCAACGGGCCATGCCTTTGGGAGCTGTCTGAGGTGAAAAGCTAACCCAAGGCATAAAAACATAGCTATTTTTATCCCAGTTCAGATGCTGAGATGCTGGCATGTTGTTGTCATGGTTGCCAACTCCAGCTTTGAAAAAATGAAAAATAGAGGAAAATCAAGTCTTTCCAAACACACGGAAGAAACCTGAAGTACTTCAAGCACTGTGCTTGCTAAAAACAAGATGCAGAGATCCATTCTCTGAGCATTCATCCTTCTTTGAGCAAACAGACTTGGAAAAAAACGGGATTTAATAAAAATACCATTGAATCAGCCATGAAATTGCACTCTGAAAGCTCATGCTGAATGCAGAGCAATGATGAAATCAGAGGTAGGGGTTTTTACCCATTTTATCTTTCACAAGCAAAAAAATCTCTGTATAAAATAGAAATGGCCATTCAGCTGCCCAAGTAGGACAGGCATCTGTACCACAGAACAGTCTTGTTCAAGTGAGGCTCTCTGCATCTGGAGACCACAAGCCCTCACCTTCTTCTGGAGGACAGGAGAAGCGCCTTGTGGGCAGTGTGAGCAGTACCCCAGTACTTGCACAGGGTGAAGTGCATGGTCTGTGAAGAGCCAGTGATGTCTCAGAGAAAGAAAACAGCCATAACACGTGAAGGAGCACAAGCAGAAAATAGAAATTAGAAATAAAGGCCTGAAGTCAGGAATATGACACCAGCAAGACTGCAAAATGAGGGGAATGAGGAAATTTGAGCAGAACAAAGCCAACTCTGTCTAGGTTTTCCTCAAAGTCAGCTTCCTCCATTGAGGAGACAGCATTTCCAGTTTGTCAGGTCCTGGGAGGATGGAGAGGGGGAGAGGGCTGGCACTACAGCTGCCAGCAAGCTGTTAGGGTTAACCAGACACATCTGGGATGCTCAGCCTGAAGGCTGAGCCTCCCTTATTTGCCTTGGTCACAATGTTTTAGTGATGTTTCTAGGAGATCTGGTGAATGGGAAGACCAAGCTGATACTCTCTGCTGAGTCAGCTGAACATGGAGCCTAAACATCCTTCATTTGAGCTGTAGCTGCTAAAATTGAAATCCTTATGGATGCACCTGGGGGCTGGCATTCAGTGTGAGGCCCAGAGCACTGGCTTCGTCTTGTACATTGCTGGGAGATGATCGCTGCCCAACAAAGCTCAGTCTGAGCTGGAAGGGAAGGTAAAGCTCCTTCAGGGAGATAGCTGTTGCTGTTTGAAACTGAGCCAAGCCAACTTGGCCTTCCTAATCACCTATGCCTCTTGTATCACATCCCGAACCTTTCCTGCTTCAGTCAGTGACCTCTATAGACCCTACCTACGGGAAAAGAGTCTTAAGACTTCACTCCCATTCCCTCTATAGTGAAGACATGGCTTCTTCCTGGAACTCTGAATGCCATTCTCATCTCTAAATCTTCTCAGAAGCAGATGCAGAGTCCAAAATACCTAATCGAAGGCTGGTATTGTTTTTGTTCTCCCTGTCCTTTTTCATGTATTCATACACACGTGCATGCACAAACACCACAATGCCTTGGTTTAGACAGACTTATTTCATAGTCCATAGCTGAACATAGTTGAATACCAAATAGGTGTATGAACTAAAATTAAACACTCCCTGCTAACACATCACACACCTACGCAACTAAAAGCTAATGGCATAATGCTTGCCAATGCTAATTATCATAACAGCCAGCTTTATAGTTCCTGTTCTGCAGTCACAGTAGTGGCCTTCTGAAGCAGACTTCGGTGTACAGAACCAGCCCCTCCCTAGAGGCTGACGTGGAAAGCCACATCTCTAAAACACAAAGATGCACAAAACCAAACCATAACATGAACCCAAAACAGCAGCAACAACCACAGAGTCATTGTTCTGTTTATAATCAGAGTGAGAAATCCATCTGGGGACTGCTGCAAATAACACCAGCTCCAGCTGGTCAGGCATGGGCTGCAGCAATTTGGTCCAGGTTATTGAACCCGTACATTAGCGGGTATCGCATCTAACTTTAGCATCTGTAGCTCCTCAGAGACTGTGTCTGGAAAATGACATCCTAGCTGGGCTGCTCACCACAGACCTCAGTAACAGCGTGGCAAACAGAGATGTCATAAGGCAGCAGCTTGCTGCATGAGCCACCGCAGCCACTGCTTTTGTCCATCATGCCTTTTCTGCTGAGTTGGAAGTTTTGACGCTGAACTCTTCTATACAAGTATGTGGTTTAATCAGTAAACACATCAGTGTGTTTAGGTTAGGATGCCTCTGTGGTTAGTCTAAGCACAGCTGTATAGCATAAGATACTACTTGCTGGTTAGCAAGAAGTCTGTGGTGGTTTGTTTCATGAGCCTGCTCGTAGCCTATGCCCATGTGAGAATATATCTGGCTTCACAAGTATGCATCACTTCTAATCACCATCTTCAGCTGTGGGTACAAAACCTTGCAGATAGCATCCTGGCTTGCCTGCTGTTCCCTGCCCTGTTAATCCTTCTGCCTCTCAGAGGCACTTTTGGGTAGGCCTATTGTGATGCATACTAAAAACCTCAGAACTCATGTGATTCCACTGAGACTGCCTCAAGCTAGGAGAAAAACTCCCTGTTTGGCTTTTAATGCATAGTCCATTTGTTCATTGAAGTATATGACTGTCACTGACAGTCCTACTGGCATTTTTTGGTTGGAAAGAGTTGACAAAGAACAAACCAACATGTTTTTACTCTTTGCTATGTTATTACTGAACGTTGATAGCTTTTTCAAGGCCCTATCTGCATCTGTTTCCCCTTTTGAGGAAAGAAAGTCCAGGGCATGTATTTGTTAGCTGGAGCTTGTAATTGAGTAGACTAATGATTTGATTGGCATGATATAAGGCCCAATTTTAAAAGCACACAATTAACTTTAGGTCCTAATATTCCCATTCAAGTCAGTGATTATTCCTTTGCTTAAGTGCTTTGTTGAACTGGCTCCTGAATATGAAGCAGCCCTGCGTGACAAAATTAATTGCCTCTGCCCAGGGAGCTGAGCTGCTTTGCTGACAGAACCAACGCAGGGAAGTTATATGCACTGCTCTCAATGGGAATTGAGAGAGCCGCTATGGTTTTATGCCACCTCACTATAGCCAAAGGGCCCTGGGGCTTGGATGTGGTAGATACATCTGCAACCACGTTTGGGAAAGCACTTCTTCATCTTCTGCACTCAGCATCTTGGCTTTAGCTTTCCATGGCATGCTTTCCTCCATCTCTTTCTTATTTTGCTGTGGTTTGTTTCTGGTTTGGGTGCAGGGTTCACTTGGGGGTTGGGATGTAAATAGGTCCAGCTGGCAGGATGGTGTGAAGGTGTAGAAGAGGCTTCTGGGGTTATTTTGTTGATTCCTTGTGCCTATGCTTGCTTGTCCACAGTGGTGAATTGGGGTGAAAGACGGTAGAGGGACAGTGCAAGCATGTCTCAAGGCCCTCTGCCCCTCCTTTCCTTCTGCTCCACAGTGCAAGTATTTACAGGATACTGCAGAAGACAAAATCCTGTAAGGAGCTAAGGTCATTTCTCTGCTGGATGGTCAAACTGAGGGGAATCAAGGCACATAAAGCAGCTTTTAGAGAGAAGAGATGATGAGGGATGTCATCTGCCCTATGAGTAAAGCGTGTCTGGGTTAACTGGGATTATCCTGCAGTTTAGAGATGGTACCTAAGAGTATAGTGTTGTGTGAATCCTCCATTATCTTTGCTCTCATGTGCCTTATTCAGTAAAAACGTGGGTTATGACAGAGTTTTAACGTTGCTGGACTGAGATGCCTGCGTTTCCTCCATCACCCTACCTACACTGCCCAGATACTCTTGTCCTTTGGAGTCAGCTGAGGGATTTTGGTGCTGTGCTTGGCTGTGCAGCCACCACTCCTGTCCATAGATCCTCATGGGGCTGCAGGCTGCCCAGGAGCTGTAGCACTCAGAAGGGCAGCTCTCCCAAATCTGTCCCTCCCATTTGTCATCCTTCTTATGGATGCCAGAAGAAAAGCCTAATCCTTTCACTGTATAAATAGGGCAACAAAGATGCTTCCAAAAGGTGAAAATGAATAAATCCATCAGCTACAATACTAAAATTACCATAGGACTTATCATGGCTTTAAAAAAAAAGAGAGAACCAAAGGGGTTTGTGTTTGCCACCTGAGCATCTCATTGCAGCTCTGCAGGAGGCGGGACATGACACAGCGTTTGATGCAAAGCAGCAGATCTTTGTGTGCCATGTTTTCGTAGGAAAGGACCGTTTTCAGACGTGACTTTATCCACCGCGTGTGAAGAAGGATCTCGGCACGATGGTTTCCAATCTTCCTGATGAAAACAAGCTGTCCCTCAGCAAAATCACGTCTTTCAGGGGGTGAGTGCACTCTGAGCAGCTTCCCTCACTATCGCATCTTGTACAACAAGCAGAAAGCCAACAACTTGTAGAGCACTGAGCATAAGAAGGTGATGAGGTGGACACCTTCTGGTGTCACGTAGGCTTGAGCAGAAGCACAGGCACTTCCCATCCTACTCAAAACTGACCAGGAAAACGCAATTTCTTTCCGTGATCTTGTCAACTTCCTGATCCTTGTTAGGCTAAAACAAACAGGAGACCAGGTTGTTCCCTCTGGGTTTTGGTGCGCCTACGTCTTGGCCAAGCCAGACAATGCAAAAGCACAGAAAAAGGTGAATGGGATAAAATCTTGTGGGGAGTTCACCAAAAGCTGTCCCTGGTTGCAAACTGGGTTAAGTTGGTGGCACATAGAAAGGCTAGATTTGTTTGGTTTGTAATCATCTCACGTCCCAGTAAAAAACATACACGGGGAGAGGAAAGCGATGCAGAAGTTAAGGTGAAGTTGGAATTCAGGTTTTAGTGCTCTTGCTCCTGCCTTGCTTATTCTCATGTCACCGCAAGGGTGGCCCAGGCTGTGATCCTTCACTGACATCCTAATTCTGCAGCTTTCAGACAACGCCCGCCCCTCCAGGGACTGAGCTGCAACAGGATGCTGCAGGCTTCACTTCTGCAGCCCTCAAGAAAGAACCAGAGTGGCAGACAAAGGAGGTAGGACAGGGGCTGCTAACGGGTCAAGGACCCACACCCATCTCATAGTGCCTGCCTATGGTGAGACCATGAGCACGTCACTTGTATTCCATGTAGATGGAAGAATCTTTCTGGGTGATTCAAAAGAGCTTTCCCCCTCTGATTGATGTGCTTTGGGCAGACATGGGGAGGGAGCACACATGCAGTCTCATACTGGAATATTTACCAACAGCATCATGGTAAAAGAAAACTTGTGAGGCCAGGCGATGCTCTGCTGTAGCTAATTGCAAACGAGGGAGAAAACAGGTTTTATTTATGTACTTTCCAAATCCTGTGAACTTCCTGACAGTTAAATACAACAGCAAACGAGGCCAAAATACATTTTAAGGTACTTGAGGACTTACCTTGAGATCAGCCTTCCTTTTTCCAGTGCTCTTAAGTGGCACCTATTGTTACCTGAATGTTTCAGGCATGTTTTGAAGATGAGGTCATGTCCTTGGTCCTGCTGTTCCTGCAAAGACACATCTTCAGAAACCTTTTCATTTCTGTGCAAGGCTCTTTTATAACTGGGCCTCACAGGGGAGCTTTCTGTTGTCTTGAATAGAAGCACACAGGTCTGAAGCATCAAGAGCCCTTGTATAAAGAGAATAGAGACAAAAACCCCCACTCTCTACTGCATTGTTGCTTCAATAACACATCTCTATTTTTCGTTTTTTATGATATATATTTGGCTTTAATGTTCATATTTCCACATTCCATGAATACAAACTCATTCAGCGTCAGCAGGTTTTGCACTTAGAGGACATCAGTCATTTGAAGGCAAGTAGTAGAACTGTAACATATCCTGCTGATAATGATTTGACAGAATGTGTAGTACAGACCCTTTACATGTTTTGACTTGATTTACAGAAGTGCCCACAGACCCCTGCTTCCCAAGGGCTGGTTAACGGGAGCAAAAGCATCTTCTCTGGCAAAGGATGGAAGTGAAGACACACTGGTTGGCAATAAAGCCAGCACTAACCTGTGGTGTGCAGGGCCCTTAAGCAGGGGGAGTGATTGGTACACACCAGGTATCTTACATGCATAAGGACAAATCCAGTTCCTCATCCAAAGGCTTTGCAGTTTAACCCCAAGCGCAAGAACACTTAAGGACTGAGTTACTGCTATTGGTAAAAAAAGGCAAGAGGACTTTCTGCTTTCTGTTCAGCTGGCTCTTACACCAGTTTCTACATATAACTGCAGTAAGAGCGGGTTGTAGACTGAGCACACACACACAGGCACTTCACCTTCTTGCTTGTAAAGCAGCTGCAAATAACCGGTGCGGTGAGGATTTGATTCTTTGTTTTCTGATAGGAATGAAATCAAATGGCATAGTTAACCTATTGGTAGGTATGGAGACATGCAAAGCTTATGGCATGTGACCTGTGTTTGGTCTCCCATCTTCTAACTCCGTGTTCAGGACCAGGTTGGACACAGGGGCTTGGAGCAAGCTGCTCCAGTGGAAGGGGTCCCTGACCGTGGCAGGGGTTGGAGCTGGATGAGCTTTAAGGTCCCTTCCAACCCAAACCAGTCTGGGATTCTATGATTCTCCCTGTGCCGTATCCTGCCCACTCTCAGCCATTGCAAACCCTTTTCTTGTGACAGACATCTTGGCAGGAGCTGAAGACGTGGCTGGAAGAAAAGGAGAAAGACCTTATAAAGGTATTGAAATGCTCTTGTGAAGAAAGAAACGGGCATGAAATGTGAAGGGAGAGTGTGAGAGTCGACCATAAGGTTATTAAAAATAGATTGTAAGCTTGGACTTGTCCTGCAGCAATGAAGACAGCATCAGGGCAGCTGCATGACTGCAGCTCTGCCCAGACACAGGCTCACCAAAGGTTCTGCTGGCTGTCACTGCCGTTGCTGTATGAGTGCAAGGGCACCTGAGAGCAGGCTTTCAGACAGGTCAGAGCTACCCAAAGCTTGTGTGTTAGAGTCTGATGCTGCCCAAAGTGGATCTCAGGTTATTAGCTCCCAGAGCACACAGTTACCCATGAAGAGAGGTACTTGGTTCACCTTTCTTTCACAAGTACCAGCTGGTTACTGACCAGTTTTCAGCTCTACATTGATGGGCATAATGATGACCCCATAGCAACAGGCTTGCTTCTGTTTTACCACAGGAGCAAACAGAAGCATGTGTGGTAGCTGATGCCTTGATTTAATGTCCCTCCAGTGCCATGGGTTTCTCAACACAGAGCTGGGATTTAAACTAGCCTTTTGGAAACACAATATTCCATATTCCATCAACCATCCTAACACTCTAGAAAAGCACAGTGCTAAGCACCAGGCAATTTTGACTTAAATATTCCCTTTCCTGCTTCCTCCCCTGAAATGACTTATAGTTTCTTTTTGTTCAGTATAAACAGAGGAGATTATTTTGTTCCCAGCAAAACAATCAAATGCAAGCACTTGTCATAACAAAGTCTCCAGCGAAGTCCTGAAGTGGTGCGTTTGAATGGTGGCCTGTGGTTTCATGCTAAGGTAGAGAAAACCAACACTTTTATTTAGGAGAGGTCTTCACAAGTCAAGCCAACTTGATTTGTGAGTCAGTGGAGTCATGGGATCACAGAATAATTCAGGTGGGAAGGGACCATGGCGGGGTGCCTCTGGTCCCAGCTCCCATTCAAAGCTTAGACCAGGTTGCTCAGGGCTGCATCCAGCAGGGATGCAGTTCATTTTGGAGATGTGGTGTCCACACGTGGTCTATGGAGTGCTGAATAGCGGGGGGCAATCCCTTCCCTCCACCTACAGACCATACTCCTGCCCATAGGGTTGAGATGCTGCTGGTCTCCATCACTGCCAGGGCACCCCGGGGGCTCACCTCAGCTCCTGTTCTCTCACCCCCAGGCCTTTCCCACACTGAGGATGCTTTCCTGCCCAGGGTGTTCTGCGTCCCACAAGCTACAGAGCATTTGCAGTGGCAGAAGAGCCAGGACACTTGGCTGACATACATCATGTTGTTCAACACTGTGACTGCACTGGGACTAGAAAGGCTGTCAAACACACAGTGTGATCACATAATCCTCACTTCTAACCAATGTTTGATGGATAGAAAGTGCTGCTTTGTGGCTTTTTAGCATTCTTTTTACATTGAAAGTTTAACCAATACACAGTAATAGTTTTCCCCTAACAAGTTATATGTTATTTTGTTGGTTTTTAGGAAAAAAATAAGATATCAGAAGAAAAAAGATTAGTCATGCAGCAAGACAAAATCCTAGAGGTATGACATCCTTTTGCATATCACAGTACGTGCTCTTTCTTCGTTTAGACCAGCACCATTCTATAATAAGCTTTAAAAAGGTAATTAGAAGGGTGTCAAACAGCGAAGCGATAGAGTGGAACATAATATGGGTAAAGGTGTGGGAAGCAGGTCTGCGGTAATGTCAGGGATACAGAAACAATGCAACACCACACAGGTTTGGGTTAGAAGCTTTGCAGACAGTAGTCTGCAAATCAGTGAGTACAGCTTTACAATGAATGCCCCTGTATCACTGGGAACATAAATCATCCAGAGAGTTACTGCAATACAAAACCAATACCAGGAGGGAAAATTCCTGTAGATTTCTATCACAGCCAATTTGGGAGAGCAGAATATGGTGCTCGGCTCATGCTAATGAGCTCTGACTTGACTTGCATTGCACACCAGAGCGAGGGACCAACATTAAGATTGTTTGCTTTTCTTTTTGACCTTTTAAGGACATGCAGATGAAAATAAGCCACTTAGAAGAACAGCTCAAGCACCTCGAACTAATTGGGCCGTAAGTATTAGCGATGCTCTCTTTTCTGGGTTTCCAGAAAGATGAAGACCAAAGTTGTGGGCATACCCCGGATATTAATGTCAACTCTCTTTCTTAATAACCCGCACCAGGTTCATATTATTGCTTTGCAGAATAACAAGCAAAAGCAGCAGCAGCAAAGCCTGAAGCCACATGGTTATTTTCTGAGCCTGAATTCGTGGTTATTTCTTAGCCTGAATTCAAGTGCCATTAAAATCATGCCCTCACCTCACCTCACTACTGGGCTGCAGTTTCCTTTAAGTAAGGAGGTCACACAGAATCTCTGTATTTCAAAACACTGCATTTAAGTACAGAGCCAAGCCCATGTGGGTCTGTGCACCAGGCTTCTCTCTCGTGTTCTTCCTCTTCCCAACTGCTCTGCAATGCAGAACTCCTCTAACTTCAGTAAACAGGAGGGGTTAAATATTCCTTCCAGCAACCACTCCCAAACTAAGCACAAAATATGAAATGCTGGCAGTGAGTATTAGCCCCACTTAAAAACTCCTCTTTCAGTTCTGTGAAGTGATTTGAGTTTCAGTTTTGTGCTCTCTGGGTCCTGGAGAGAAGAGCCATGTAATGGCATTATGTATGCACTGCACGAACTCTAACAACTGAGGCTGAAACACAGCATCAAGCTTAAAATAATAAGGCTTTTGGGGAAAATCTGCTGTTTGCAGTAATAGGGCTATCCCCATGCTTGAGGGGCACAACAGATCCTCTACCTTAATTACCATACTGTCTCCATCAATCAAAGTTGAAGGAGATGGCAGAAGACAATACCACCCCCTTTTTCCCACCTTGCTAGCATGGTAGCATGCTTGATGGGAGAAACCCAGCAATGCTAATGTTTTCCTGCAATAAAACAGCATCAGCTCTGTGCTGTTGGTATGCTTTTTGGAAGCTGGCTGTCCCCAGACACCATGCTCAAGGTCGTTGCTCATACCTAGTCAAAGCAAAGGAAATTGAGGTCCAAAATGAAATACAGCAACATGTACCTTTAGAAAGAAGAAACTAAAACATGCTCGATCTAGAAATGTGAAATTTAAGATGGGGAGAATTGGGAGGGGTGGAGAAATGAAATATTTCTTACAAAGTCCTCAAAGGAGCTGCTTGACTTTGCCATCAATCTGGTCTTTACCCTTTACAGTGCTGCTGTGCAGTACTTCCTAATGCAACCACCTTTGTAATGAAAAGCAGCAAGAAATTCTTCTCTACAACCCAGGCATCTGTTAGGTTGCAGCTACTCCTCGTCCTGTAGCTTTATTGTCTTCATTAATGCTTGCAATGGGCCGAGTCATCTGCAATCTCTGGTGATGTTTCTTTTTGCTCCACAGCCCACAAGGGAAGAAGGTCGAAAACTGCCCATGCTCTCTCACTCTGAAGGTAGCCATGGTGAAACTGGTAACAGAGAACTGCCCTGCTCCCCTTACCCCTGCGCTTTCAGGACCTCCTCCAGCTCCCTTTGCTCCAAGCTGGAAATGTCCTTGTTTAATCAGTCAGATGTGATTCATCTCGGAGGTTTTCAGTTCCTTATCTCACTCACCTTCTGTGCCTCAGGCTCACCACTGTTTGGGCAGTTTGTGAGCTCTTTTTAACTCCTCCGTGTTTCCTGTCCTAGAAGTGAGAAGACATTTCAAAGTGATTTAGATCTCTTCTTTCCCTTTCTAGATGCAGAAGTCAACGACCAGTTACCTAAGAAGAATCAGTCTCTATTTTGGGTAGGTGCAATATTCGCATAGCGTGCACATTCGATGTGTTACATCTGGAGCACCATGGAGTCAAGATTATTCTGACTAATGATGGAATATCATGGGAAAAACAGCGCAAGCAGGGAAGAGGAATGAGGTGCAAGCGTAGAGCTATGTGTGTGTTAACTAACTTAGTGGAGCAGCAGACTGAGGAAATCAGGGTGCAAAGTCAGTTCTGGCTCCTGGGATGGGTTCCATTGCGAATCACTCCCCTGCCACCTCTGAAAACACACCATTTGTGTGCAATCTGGCAAATGTCTCCTTCTTCCATCCTTATGGGGCAAGGGAGGAAGGTCTAAGGTCTGAGCACACGGTTCTCTCCTCCTGGGTGCTCTGTTATCAGCCCTCCATTAAACCACCTCTCTGCCATGCTCACCAGATGGGTGCTGAGGGGTTGCTGGTGGGCTTCCATCTGCCGGGACCAAAGGAGCGTGGATTCACTGAGTGCCAGGGAAAGTGATGCCATCCCTCTATTTTCTCAGTCTCAGTTGAAGGTAGTTTGAAGAAAAGGAGGTGTTTATGGACAGACGCTTGATGTTTGTGTTTGGCTGTCCTTGTTTTATCTGCTGACCTTCTCAGAAGGATGGAAGGATTTCAGGAAGTAATAGCAAAGTGTTATACATCAGCGTGCTTGGATGGGGCCTGGAGCAACCTGCTCTAGTGGAAGGTGTCCCTGTGCACGGCAGGAGGTTGGAAGTGGGTAAGTTTAAGGTCGCTTCCAACCCAAACCGTTCTATGAGTCTGTGGATGAATCCTTCAGTTAGTCGCTTTGTGGTCAGGGTGCAAGTGCTGCTGAAGCTGTTCACAGACTATTTCATGAAGGCTGTTGGTGTTAGTAACCAACCATTGCTCATTTGCTTTGTCCCCTCCCACCACTCCAGCACCAGCAGGAGTTTCTCACGAGATACATTTGCCTTCCTGTGATGGTCTTTCAGTGACTCATATAAAGAAAGCAACCTCCTGTTTGCTGCTGCATGGTAGGGAGCCTTGAGATGGATCTTGCAGACAGTCGTTCAGAAAACAGATCGATTGTGATTTCCTCTCCTGAGGACAGAGAAGCATTTTTGCTGTTTCACAGCCAAGAACAACTACCAGGTGCTTATGGCTTGTTTCATTTGTGGAGCTTCATTTCCATTTAAATCTGTGCATTTCAAAGTCAGGAACCTGCTCCTGCTAACACAGTGCGTTCATGTGTGGGAGCAATCTTCCACAAGGAGCAGGTACAAGCACTGCAGGGCTTGTCTGAACAAAACAATGGAGAAGTGGTACTGACCTGGAGCATGGCTGGGCTCACAATGAACCCTGCACACTCCCTACATCACCTCAGCCAGATTTCTTCCCTCAGGCTTCGGGGTTGCCCACCTCTAAAATGACACTAACATTTATTCTTCTCTGCTCTGTGCCACCCTCATGTGTTCACACCACAAAACCCCTGGGGGCAAGAGCCACTGTTAAGAGTCAAACACTTGCAGGGGACAGACTCAGTGGTAATATTGCCAGCAAGGAATGAAGGATTCTGCTTTGGCCGGTGCAATCACATTCAAGATGAGATGCCCTATTGGTTTTTAGTATTCATAAAGCAGTCTTACAGTGTCTGTGTTTTTCTCTGTGCATTGCCCTGTCTCTCTTGTTGCAGGATCTCTTTGTGGCTGTTGGGCAAGTTCCTACTGCACACTGGCCGCTTGTGCATAACACTGGCCTTGTTTGTGAAACATGTACCTGATCCTACCTGGGTAAATTGGATACTGAGCAGAATCTTCCACCAGTACAACAGATCTTACTTATGGCCACATTAATGCTAAGACTCCACAAGGATTTCTGTAGGGATACTGTATGGCTTCTGGAAAGACCCCATACTTTAAAATAAAGCAATCATGGATGCTAAAAGCATGTGATAATGTCTGTCCTTCCTGTGAGAACTGCTCTGCAGGGGCACAAAGTAAAGCCCATGTACCTCAGGAGCAGGGAGTATGCTTAAATACGTTTGGCTGTGTGCTGTTGGAGGTGGGTCTGAGGTGCAAAAGTTGCTTTAGCATCCATGTTCTGATCTACTCCCCAAATCCCTGAATGCCCTGCCCCTATCAGCACAGCCATGGGTGTGGAAAATCTGTAATTAGATCTAGATAGGATCTTCCGTTAATGAAGTGGCAATGACCCCATTATCAGCAGAGCAGTGAGAACCCATGGGAGCTGAAGCTTTGTCCTAAAAATGCCTCTTGCCTGACTCAGGACCAGCCAGCTCAGTGGAGGAAAATGTCAGCCCAGCTACTTGCTGCCTGATGACAGAAGTCCTGCAAATGGCCTCTCACACACACACAGAGCAATGCTACTGCACAGCTGCAGCAAACCCCATGAAGAAGAAGGAGGAGAATAGGAAAAAGAGGGAGAGGTGAGAGCCCAAACCGAAGTGGTTTGGGAGGGGACAATAGGGGCTGACCATGGCTTTATGTAAGGACCGCAGTCACAAGGGATGGAGTGCCCGACAGGAGCGTACAAACCAGCCCCTGGCAGGGAAGATGAGTCCTCAGAGCCATGGAAAAGGGAGAGAAAGGCCAGGACAGGGCCTGCAGCAGTTGCATTGCTGCTGGGAGGTGCTGCAGAGGCCAGGCTGTGTGTGGCTGGTGCTCACACACTGCCGGGGGTGCGTGTGTCAGCAGCCGTAGCTTTGCTGCAGTTCCTTTAGCTAGATCTTGGAGCATCAGTGGTGACAAACAAATCGAGGTGGCCCTCAGGACAGCACATTAGTCAGCAAATGAGCCTGCTGGCAGGTAATCCGGTGGTAATGCAGCATTTCCATCTATTCTGGTGTGTGAGCAGATACGCTGATGGCTCCCAGCTTAGAGACTCGTGTACATCCTCTGTGATGGTACCTGCGCGCCAGTCCTTCCTGGGAGAATGAGCAGCACTGATTTATCAGGTCTTGTACAAATGCAGTCCCTGTGCCTGCAGGCACAGATACTCAGCTATTGCCAGAGAGAAGATGGAAAGGAGGGGTCCAAAGAGGAACAGGAGGAATGGTGGTCCTCGGTTTCAGTGGGCTACAGGTCCAGGCAGTTGCATCTGAATTACTGGGGAGAGTCTTGAGGCTGCAGGAGTTAACACCAATGATTTCCATATCAAAGGGCTTTCTGAGGAAGTACCAGAACAGACATTTCCCTCTCTGAGTGTTCTGGGGGCTTCGGTTTCTTTTAGTTCCAGGGATCAGAAAGAGGAACAGCTTAATCTTCTTAAAGAAGCCTTGATAATTTGTTAAGCAAAGATCTGGCCCCGGGATGAGGTTTATAACTTACCCCCATGGACGGCCAACCTCGAGCAAGAGATGCCCAGGTTCAGAAATACTAGGGTTAAATAATTTTTGTCATTTTCAGGGGAAAATTGCTTAATGTCTTCTAAAATACATTATACAGACAGTGTGCATTAATGTAATGGGTTAAAACTCAGAGAACTATACTTTACAGTCTGAGCCACACCATCTGCTTGTCTCCCTGCTCAGTGCCCTAAGCATATGGCCAGAGAGAGCAAATTTCTTTTTCCCTTCTCTTCCATCTCCTTTCCTAACTCTGCCTAGCCTCATTACCTTAGATTTCCTTACACTGAATTTATGTGCAGGCGCTGTTTATTTGCCTTCTCTCTTAGTGTAGCTGTGTGATGCTGAACATCATTTAGGCTGGTCTGGCAACTCCACCTTATTATTCACCTTAATGTGCATACATTCTCCTAAATGATGATTTATAGGGAATGGAATTGGTCCTAAGGACGCTCTTTGTGTCACTTTACTGCCTCTTCCCTCTCACCAAGGACCATTTTCATGTCAATTCACTCTTCCATTTTCCACCTGTAATTGTGGTGATAAAGTGAAGCTGTTATCTGCCAACAAAAATGGCTTTGAGCAGCCTTGGTTTGCACTGTGGTTTGGTTGTTTTTTACTAGATGGTTCTTCACTTGAAACTCCATGATAAGACCCTTTTCAAGCTAAATAACTTGAAAAGCACTCTGAAGAGCAATATTTTTCCTAAGACCCCATTAGTTCTGTTGGTCTGCAGGTGTGCATCCCTAGTGGGCAGATCTCTGTCTTAGCATATATATTAACTTTAGTGAGAGGAAGAGACTGCTTCTGCCATCCTTGCCTCCAGGCAGTCTGGCTTCAGTGCTGTTTTTCTGACTGTGGAAAACTTCTGGAGCTACAGCAAATCAGAACTTAATGAATGCCCAGATACCCGGATTTCAGCTGCGGTTGTAGCGAAGGAAACATCGCCAGCACCATGCAGCACATTTAACCTCTTCCCTGGACTTGTCCTTCCTACAAAGACCTCACCAGAGCAGTGGGTTTGGTTAACCCTACCTCCTCCCTTGACCCATGCAGAGCTTCCACCAGGGTTTGCGTCCAAGCCAGGAGGCATCACAGCACCAAGGTAGTTTTCTGATGCTGGTCTAGTGGGCATTGCTCATGGCTGTGTATGCAGAAACGTCGGAATTAATGCCCACAGGGGAATATCAGGGCAGGGCTACTCAGAGATTACTGTGTTTCTGTGGAAAACAGTTCAGTTGCAAGGAGACAGGCTCATCCTGCTTAACCACATCCCCAGCAGAAACTGAATATCTTCAGTTCTCTTTCCATGTATAATCCCTGCCTAAAGGGGAAGAAAGGGCTTTGCATAGCCCATTATAGCCTTTATCACAGTGCGGCGTGCAAAATACGGGATGGGATTTAGATCCCTGGGTTTGCTTTAAAGGAATTGCTGCTGTGGTGTTTCAGTTCTGGTGTTAACCAACACAGCCCGGCAAAAATCAACAGTGAGGGGAGAAACAGATCCATCAATGTCCTTAACAGGGTTTTCTTGATAAAGGGAGGTTTGACCTCGGGTGACTTATCCAGACGCAGCAAGGGTCCATAACAACTGCCTCAACATGTGGCACAGGCTTGGTGTTTTCATTTGAGTTTGGCTGGTGATACGATCCTACAGTGCGAATTTGGGAGGTAAATAAACCACCCTGGTTTGGAAAGAAAAGACAAAGTAACTGCTCAGTAGGAAAACTATGGGGACAGCTTTCTGTTTGCAGGGATGAGAGCAGTTCTGCAGCCTTTCACCAGCAGAGTAGGGAAAGCTCTGCTGGGAAACCATTGACATGACTGCCTAATATCTGTGGAGCATCTCTGCAGCCAGTAGGGAACAATGTGACTGAAGCTGATGTCCAACATAACAGGCAGGAGCATTTTATCTCCCTGGTATGGGAAATGCTGTGCTGTGCTATTAGAAGGGGTTATTTGGAAGGAACCTGGTCTATAGGTTAGGGCTTTGGCTTCACACTTGGGATATGTCAAATGTCTTTCTTAGCTCTGCCCAGTGCCGTGGGCAAACCATTTAGTATCAGCCACAGTTTCTCATCTATAACATTCAGACCCGAATCCCTGTGTGTTTGAGGAGCGCAACTGCACCCTGCCAGTGGGATATCCATCCCTAGGGAAGAGGAGGGGAGATAAAACCTATCCAAAGTGAGTGATCAGCACCTTCCTGAGGGAGCTGTGGCTCTGGCGCTGTGCTCCAGGCAGATGCTTTTCCCTCTGAAGGCAGAGCAGTGTAGGGACATCCCGGTGAGTCCTTTCTGATCTCTACCCTGCATGGACCAGGTACCAAACCGTGCTGTAACAAAACCACAGGCAATAGGTCACTTCACCCATCAACCAGAGATGGCAAAAGGCTTGCCAGGGGCTATCCTCGCTCCCCGAGCATCCCAGCCAGCAGCTGAGGTTCAAACAGAAGACCAAGGCCACGGAAAACACAGCAAATGCCTTCACTTGGGTCACTTTTGTAAATGGCTTCTGTTTCGGTGGCCCTGAAATGTGTCTTTCTTTTTATGTTGAAAAATGACGAGCCGAGCTGTGAGTTGCCATGGATGCGGCATTCGGTTCCTTGCAGACTTTGTCTCTTACTGTGCAGGACTTCAACCTCAGCGCTCTCCTTGGGCTCATACACAGTGAGGAAATTGGCCCATTTTCTCTCAGGAGCCAGAGGTAAAACTGCTGCTAACGCAGAGGTGTGGGCTCAGGCCTGTTATATCATGGTACATGGTTTATAGCATTGATCACCTCTGCTGGGGCAGTCTCCCGGTTGTGCCTCACAAGTCAGGCTTCCACCCAGGTGTAGATGAATCCCCAATACAGCAAAGGAGAAAAAGAATCCCTTTCCCTCCATAGGCCAACAGGAGAAACTGTTTGTCCCTGGGAATGGTTTTTGCCTGGGACTCCGTGGCAAGTGTTCTCTTGAGCGCACAGAAACTGCCTCTGCATTGCAGCAAGGTATCTGAAGGCATCCGAACGATCTGCATAGAGTGTGCTGTTTAGCTGCAGTAGTTTTCCAGCCGGCCACGGTGTCAGGGACTAAACGGATGGCGCTGACAGATAAACATCTCAGCACTGCTCGGGCTGGCTACAGCTGCAATTACTGTAATGAAGTGACATTTGTCTCTGGCCCTCTCAGAAGTTATTTGCAAAGAAATGGGTAGAGATAGGGGCTAAATCTTCAAAGCCAGTTGGCAATACAGCTAAAAAAAGCTATGGAAATTGCCTTATATTCAGGCGTTCATTCTTCTGCTCTAAGCCATTATCTTCCTTTTCAGAGGAAGGAGCTCTGCAGATGCACAGGCATCTGTATAAACAGGTTTTCTCTACAGTTAAATCTTAAGCGTTTCTCCAGTGGTTATAAAAGGGGGAAGAAAAGACTGAATTTCCTGGGCTCTGATGGCAAACCATGAGACTTTAATCTTCCTATTTATTCACTGCTATGGAGCATGGGGTCTCAACAGAGCAGGACCTACTGTGTGAGATGCTCTACACTCACAGAACCTGGGGCAGCTTTCATTTAGGCTTCTTTCTATGCATTTTATAAGCA